CAACAGGCATGGCATGTTCAGAAGGAGAGTGTTTTATGACCCTTCTCTCCACCATTCAGCTCTTATTTTCTTTTCATCTCCTTTTCTGCTGTGTTTTTTGAGTCCCAGAGGCAGGGATATAGATGCCCTTTTGAGGACCAAGTACTCAATAGTCATTTACTCTCAGTACATCAAACAGACATGAGTCTTTGCATTTACTGCAGCTTGCTGTAAAAAGAAGCTCTTTGATGAAGGATGGGAACAACACTTATAATACATGGGTGTGTAACATGGAAGGTCTATCATTAGATAAAAGCCCTGGTGGCTTTTTTCCACTGAGGCCAGTGTAGCACTGTGTGCCAATATGAAAGCTAGCCAAAGTAGTGGAGATTTCAATCAATTCCTGCTTGATTTTCTTCTGCCTGATAACCACACTCTGTGGTGACTCTAGCAATACTGTCTTGTGATCTAGTTGGGCCATTAAGATCAATTGCAATTGCATATGTTATCTTGAGAGCTTCTGGGCTACCTGAACAGCAAGTCATAGGAACCTATCCCATACCCATCACTGCAATTTTTGTTTGATCACTGTGGCTTCTGGGATCATCATTATCTAAATAAGCATAACATCTCTATTTAAATAAGTAAAAAGTTGTTTTATGAGTGTTCTTGACATTAAATTTGTATACTTATTATGTATGTGCATGCTCATGTGTGGACACGTGGACATCATGGGAAAACCTGTGGGAGTTGAATCTCTCTTTCCAGTGTCTGAGTCTTAGGAATCAAACTAAGCCCATCAGGCTTGGCAGTGAGTGCCTTAACCTGATAAACTGTCTACTGGCCCTTTGAGGTTTTATGTTTTTCTTTCAAAATTAGCTTTTAGACTAGTAGATTTCCATATGGTTTCTGTATAATCTTTAGTTTTGGTAAGTCCCTGCTTTACCTTTCCTCTAAACTTCTGTCCTCTTTACCACTTAAAGCTTGCCAGTCTCACTATTTTCTCTACTTTCATGTTTCATGTGTCCTATGTCAGTCCTATTCTTCAGGATTCCCCTCCCCAGTCATTGCCCCTTTAGAGTCTCTACAAACTTTTGAAGATTAGGAATGGACCCATTGCTAGCATATCCCTAAAACAGCCAGTGAATTCTTTCTCTGCTATTTCTAGTCATTTATTCATAGATATTTGAATCCTCACTATGTGGGAAACATTACCATCTACAGATATAGTTAAGAATAAACATATAGTAACATGAAGTACATTGTCCTAGACTATCAATCCACTTCTACCTTTCTGAATCTTTATACATGTGTTCAATAGCCATCTATGATTATGTTGAATAAGTTTCTTCAAGATGGGGGCAAGCATGGTAAGAGAGTCATGAAGTAAGAGAGTATATTAACACAAAGAAGATCTCACTACAAATAAGTGACTTCTATGCTTTTACAAAGTCACCAAATGTAAAGCTAAAGAAAAAACAAGAATGATCCCTCCTCAGTGAGCCTAAGTATGCACAGTCTTAAGTATAAAGTAATTTCCTGAAACATCCCATGATGGGCTTAGTTGTGCATCTAACGAGTACTAAAGTTCATAGCACTTAGCTTAGTCAGTTTGACAAAAAAGTAGTGCTATGGATTCCCTATAACTCAGAATATTTAACAATGCTACTCAAAACGGAGTGAACCTGAGTCTTCAATGACTAAAATCTATTAGAAAATATCTTTTTTAAAGACATGGTTTGTCCACCCTATCTCCATTGAAAAATACAGTTTGCAATATTTTTAGATGTATAAAGAAAAGATGCCTGAAAGAATACTACTGCAAATGCTGACATCATAATATAAGTGCTCGCCATAGTCCATGTCATAAGAACACATTTGCGGGCTTTTTTTTGTGGAATAAATATGCGTTTACTTTGCAGAAGCATGCCAATGCATACTCACCACTGATGTGGTTACCACTCTAGAGGCAGTAGGGCCTGGTATAATGAAGTCAATAAATTAGGTAGATTAGTCTCATGCAATAGCCAGCTTTACTCAGAGCATGAGGCATTTTATACTCTGGGGGTTAAGAAGAGTCACCTGAGCAAAGTATCCAAGGGTTTTTGTAACCTTTGTTCTGTTATTCATTCATGCCATTAATTATGTTTCAACTGGTGCAATTCCTCTGATATTATTACTAATTTAGAGATACAAATTATAAGGAAATTCCTTTGTAATTTTCTCTAAAATTATTATGTATGTTCTTTTATAACACTTGACTCACACCCAGTTCCTTCTTTTTTTTTTTTTTTTTTTTTTTTTTTTTTTTTTTTTTTTTTTTTTTTTGGTTTTTTCGAGACAGGGTTTCTCTGTGTAGCTTTGCGCCTTTCCTTGAGCTCACTTGGTAGCCCAGGCTGGCCTCGAACTCACAAAGATCCGCCTGCCTCTGCCTCCCGAGTGCTGGGATTAAAGGCGTGCGCCACCACGCCCGGCATAGTTCCTTCTTTTGATTGTTCCTTGACTTCCCTCAGTGATGGTGGGTGTCTTTCTAAGCTTCTCATATTTATAACTTCTTCCAGAGAGACCTAACCAGGATTGTCAAAGAAAATGGCAATTTTGAGAGGTCTAAGGCTAAAATCAAGTTTGAAGAGAACCCATGATTGTGTTGTAATGATTCTGTGAGTTTTTTTCCGTGCTACTTTATTAATAGCATTTTTTTTTTATCTGTAGACATGAAATCAGCAAGGATATAAAGGGCATTTTCTGGGATCCTGTGTCATTGTTATCTGTGTTGTGTGGGCATAAACATTCAGTTGGGTCTATTCAGCTGGATATTATGTCATACAGTGTAGTCATCCTAACTCTTTACTATGAGCACTACTGCCTTGCAGACACAAAGGTGAGAGTCCTTCCACAGAGGACACACATTCATAGTGAATGCTGCAATCTACAATCATGACTGAGTCTGAGATTCTAATATAAGATTGGGCTGAGACACATGATCCAAAAGAATAAAAAGGAAGTCCCAATCCTATAATCTGTCTACAAATACTAATAGAAACTCTCCAGGGAGTCTCATGTGAGGATTCTGTTTTTGGCCTACTTGTCTTGATTTGAAATTCTCATCAAAATCAACAACAGATGGGTTGAGATTTTTTTTTTCTGTAAAATGAGAGATATAGGTTGAAATTGTCAGGAGTTAAACTTCAAAAGTGGAATCAGACTGTTAATTAACAAATGAGTAATTAGGAGACATGCCAGAGTGGCCAGTTAAGGCATGGTGGCCTTTTTCTCTTTTCTTTCTTTCTCTCTCTCTCTCTCTCTCTCTCTTCCTTTCTTCCTTACTTTTCTTTCTTTCTTTCTTTCTTTCTTTCTTTCTTTCTTTCTTTCTTTCTTTCTTTCTTTCTTTCTTTCTTTCTTTCTTTCTCTGTTTCTTTCCATCTTTGTTCTTTCTTTTTTCTTTCTCTTTCCTCTTTCTTTCATTTTCCTTCCTTCCTTCATTCATGTGTTCCTTTCTTTTTTTTGAATAAGCATTTTGACTAAAGGTAGAACCCTTGAATTTGATCAAACAACCCACAAACAAACATGGAAACACCACTTTGTTCTGGCACCTGTTTATACTCCAAGTGCTTGGCTGCCTCAAGGAACAGGTTTGTGAGTGAAAGCCAATGGGGTCACTAAACATGACCCTCCCACAAATCAAAGAAATGAACAACCAAACAACCAAACTCCAAACATGAAATGAACAGCAACAAAAAGGCAAACAAGCAAATCAACACTTTTCATATTTCATTTTAATTTTTCAATGAAATGCAGGGAAACTGCAATCAAACTGACTTGTAGTTAACTGCAAACTCTAACTAACTATGGTGGCAAAGTTAATGAATAATTTTAGACTGTTTTCCTTTATAATTTCTCACATGTAAAGTGAAAAATAATAGCTGTGTCTTTAAATGAGAGCTGTTGCTAGAATTTTACATTACTGTAGACTGTATAAAAGTTCTTGTAGAATGTAAAGTCTCAATAAATGTGGTGATTTTTTTTTTTTTGTGCTCTAACAAATAAAGCTTGCCTGGAGATCAGAGTGTGGAACTAGCCTCAAGTTAAGAAGCCAGCCAGTGGTGGCACACACCTTTAATCCCTGCCCTTGGGATATCATGCCTTTGATCCTAGTACTTGGGAGGCACATGCCTTTAATCCCAGTGCTAGGGAGGTGGAGACAGGAAGTTGTAGCATGAATCTTAAAAGGTCTTATTAATAAAAGCAAACCTGGAGACAGGTACTGGGGTCAACGCTGGAAGATCAGAGAAGCAGAACAAGGCATAGATTCCTTGCCTCGAAATTCCTCAGCTGATCCTGTTTCCTCAGATTGGAAGCCTCTGTGTCCTTGTTCAAATGGATCTCAGCTGAACTGCTTCTTGAAAGCCTGAAAGCTTACCCAGCTCTAGTTCCTGGTACTCACGCCTTATATACATTTCTGCTTACCCAGCTCTAATTCCTGGTACTCACGCCTTATATACATTTCTGCATGGGATTGAAGGAGTGAGTCACCATGCCTGGCTGTTTCCAGTGTGGCTTTGATCTCACAGAGATCCAGATGGATTTCTGCCTCCAGAAGGCTAGGATTAAAGACGTGTGTGCCACCATTTTCTGGCCTCTATATCTAGTGGCTGTTCTGTTCTCTGACCCCAGATAAATTTATTAGGGTACACGATATATTGGGGAACACAATATCACCAGAGGAAGTGATATGGCTGGGTGGAAAGAGGAATATAAGCGGGGGAGGAGACAGGAGTTGTCTCTGATCTTTTAGCATTTACCACAATATCTGGCTCCAGGTTTTTATTATAACCAATTAGAATTTGCACTACAAATAAATATTACCAGATTACAGAATTGAATGGATTAAAAGAACAAAATCACTGAAGAAGAAAAATCAAATTTCTGCAAAGATATAAAATTAAATTACTTTTATCCCCCTGGCTAATGTGTAGTATATTATGATAAATCTAAATTTTATTCAATTGTTGTTTTCTTAGATTTTAAAGAGAAAATATCATACGAGGTTATAAACTGGCATCTATCTGAAGATGAGCTAAAGGAAACTGATAATAGAAGACAACTCCTTTGTGAAGACATAGTTCACAGGTAATTTGTTTCAATTCTTGGAACCAAAGTATTGCTAATCAAGTCTTACAAATGGGGAGATGATGGTCACATAATGCTTTGAATGAATTTAAGAGAGATGATGATGGGAGCACTGGTGGATGTGGGGATGGATTGTGTTTGGGTGGTGCACTGTGGATGACTGACAGCTCCATAAATAATGGGATAGTCTCTAGAAAGTGGAAGATGTGCCTTGTAGGCCTTGTTTTTACTTGACGTCTGTGCATGTAGTCTCAACGAAGCCAATGCAGTCACTTCAGCTTCTCTATTCAGGGAAAGAAGAGCCTCCTTCTTCCATGTATCTTGTCACCTTCTTACATAAGTTCCTTAATGGAGGAAGTCACTTGACATGGCTGGACCATGCTTTGGTCCTTTTCCTGTTAAACTCATTTAAAAGCTTTCCTTTCCCCCTTTTTATTCCAAACAATTTTTCTTACATGACATATCCTGATTGCAGTTTTATTGGTTTAAATATTAAGGCCACTCCACATAGTTAAAAGGGAGGTTTATTTTGTGGGGTAACTTACAAGTGAAGGGATAGGTTACAGGGTCTGGGAAAGGTGAAGCGCAGTCCAGCAGTGTTCTGTGAAGAACTCTGCTCGGTCTACCTCCAGCGTCCAGGATTCATGAACCAAAAGAGCTGGCCCATCTGGCTCTCATGTCTTCCAGGTTCCTCTCTCAGTTCTGCCTTGTAGGCGTGACAGTTACCGAAGCCTCAGTAGGGGTGGTACTTCCAGGCCAAAGCTGGAACAGCTACTCACTACACAGTTTTCCCTCCTTCTATCCTTCCAGGAGTTTCTCACCTGTGCTCCCACCCAGATCCACTCTGTTTCTGTCACTCTGTCACTATTAGAAACCAAAAAATCTTCTAAGGTGTAATAATGAAATATAATAACAATAAAACTAAAAATATCACATCAGAGTTGGGCAAGAAAAACAAAGGAAAGGAAAAGAGTGCATGAGAAGGCACAAGAATCAGAGACCCACTCTTGTACATAATCATAAATCCCATAAAATCACTAAACTGGATGCGTGTGTGTGTGTGTGTGTGTGTGTGTGTGTGTGTGTGTGTGTTGTATGTGTGTGTGTTGTGTGTGTGTGAGTGTGTGCATGTGTGTGTTGTGAGTGTGTGTGTGTGTGTGTGTGTGTGTGTGTGAGCTGCCTCAGTCTCTCTGAGTTCATATTTTCTTTCCTCATGTTGTTTTAGAGGTCCTTGTTTTCTTCATGTGGCCGAAACCCTCTGACTCCTTCACGGCCTGCTATTTCTCTGGGATCCCTAACCCCCAAAGGGAGAGAATTGATGGAGACATCCCAGTTAGGATTTAGTGTTCCAAAACTCTCACACTCTGCATAATATTTAGCTATGGGTCTCTATATTTGTTCCCATCTGTTACAGGAGAAAGCTTCTCTGATTATGATTGATCAAGGCCCTTATCTAGGAGTATTGCAAAATACCTTTAGAAGTCATTTTATTGCTACATTTTTTGTTTTGTTTTTTTAGACTGATATTATTTGGTTTTACCCTGGGTCCTTGGGCTATTTAGGCACAGGTTATTGATTACCCATGCAGTGTTTGGTATGTTTCATCTCATGGAGTGGATTTAAAGTCAGATCAGTTAGTGGTTGGTTACTCCTACAAGCTTTGTGCCTCCATTGGCCTAGCACATCTTGCAGGCAGGACACCATTGTAGATCACTGGTTTTGTGACAGGCTTGGTGTTTATGTTTCTATTTTGGTACTGTGCAGATTATGTTTCTATACCAAAGATGCTAGAACCTCAGCTCTATCTAGGCAACAGCTCACTTTCTCCATGTTCAATGGTCTGTGTATGTGTTGTCTTCAGCAATAGAGCCTTGCTGTCAGTTTGTGGACAGCAACCTATAGTTTTGTCAACTGCATGGGTTTTTTGGATAATTTCTGTGGGACCCTTTTGTCCAACATCTCAATTAGGTTGACTCAATCATGGTACTGGATACTCATATGGTGGCAAGAGATGGTGAGTTGGGACTCTGTCTCCCACATCATTTGGCAATTTTACTGAGATCACCTTCGTATATGTATACATTTTAGCCAGTGTCTATTATGATAGGTTTTAATTCTACCCCTAAAATGTCCATTTATTTTATCTGTGTCTCCCTGTATTCCCTCCCTCCTCACTCTCCTCCCATCCCACTTAATACCCCAATCCAGACCCCCCTCTTCCACCAATCACTATTTTCCTTTCTTAATGAGCTCTCCTCGTTTTCACTGGTCCCTTATGTTACACCTAATCCCGGTGTTTCTGTGAATTGTAGCTTGGTTATCATTGACTTAACAGCTAATGGCCAGAGGTTAGTTTAAAATTTTTCAATGGCTAGGTAATACAGATGAGCCTGAGGCCTTTAGTCTTTGACTACAGAACCTCCTTTGTGTTCCACATGGATGACATGTAAAGATTTGTTTCTTAGTTAATTTCATTGGTCTCATTCATCTCTGTCCTGGAAAATTTCACTTAATATTCAAGGTGGTACTCACAGCACCATGATTCTTTTTGGAAATATTTCTCACTCAAGACTTAAAGATCACATATCTTTTGTCATATATTTTTAAGAAGTCAAATTGCACCTTAGACTATCATAGTTGTTATTTATTTACATTTTGACATATATATTGAATTTTCTTTTCAAGCTTGAACTCTTGAGGTATGGTTCAAATTACAGGTAAAATACAGTGAAGTTGATGAGAATAGGAACTTCTTAAGAAAATTTACAATTGATTTACCTTAAAGCGATTACCATTCTACTAGAGGTATTTAGTGATTATTATATAAAATATGGAAAAATGGAATTTAGCTGATAAATATTAATTATGCCATGTGTTTATCTACATTCTATTGGCATAACAGGACAACTCAATTTGGATGTGTTTATAATAAAAAGCTTATTCAGGTTACAGTTCTAGAGGTTCAACTACTGGTGTCAACATCAGTCAGGTTGATTGAAAGCATCATGATAATGGCAACATAATGGCTAAAGAATGTGTGGCTTGAAAAGTCAAGAGAAGAGAAAGAACAGGTTTCTGTCTCCCACAGAGGTTAACTCAAAGTCGAATGAAGACCATTTTAACTATCTATAGGGTCAGAGTTTCTAATAACCTCCTACAAAGATATCCTCCTAAAGATTCCACTACTTCTACATAACCATACTGTGCACCAACTCTCTGACAGATCAATCCCTGAAGACAAATGATCAGAGAGCCAAAAGAGTGTATATATCAATATATGTCAATTTATTCATGGGTGCTAAGAGAAAACAGACTCACATATGCAGGATAATGTAGATCCATTTGCAGCATCCTTCTGTTTTGCCCATGGGTGAATAGAACCAGTTCTCTAGTTTCTAGCCATACCAAGAGAGAGAAAGTACACATCCCCTCCTCAGTTTTAAACAGTCACATACCCAGAAAATCCATATCACTATCGGGCCATTTACCCCAAGGTCATTAGCATTGCAAATTGCCATAGCAGACAAACTGTAGCTCTTGTGACTTAAAGTTGATTTTAAAAGTGAGCAAAAATAAGCCAGACTCTGGGCTCTCATCTTGTGGATCTTTTGATGTTGGATGACAGGGTGCACTTGTGCATTTTACCAGGTTGCTTATCTGCTAAGCATTGATGTGAAAGAGTCCCTGCAAAATGTTGTAGGCAAGAATCATCAGTAGAATGACTAAGTTGAAGACAATCTTCAGTGTCAGTTTGAGCAGTAGAAGTTGTAAATTCTAACAATAAGCTTCCAATCACACTTATTTTTCCCATTAGAAAGTTAAGTTAGTATATAAAGTAATAGGCTTTGCTATCGACTTTTTAGAAAACATTGATGTCAGTATCTTTTCTTCTAGGTTGCCCCCTTCCTCCATAGCACTATTCCATTACACATGTATCTCTTTTGATGACTTTGTTATCTGCTCTCATTGCCTCCTTTCTAATTTCATCATCAAAAAGGGAAATAAACACACACACACACACACACACACACACACACACACACACACACACACACTTTTAAGTTTAGGTTTCATATATAAGAGAAAAATATCTGTGTGTTTTATATTTTATTTTTCTAATTGTTTAGTTTCTAGGCAGCAACTTGAATCATGATTACCTTATTCCAATATTATCATTGGAAAGTTCCTTTGTGGGATAAATCATTAATGCAAAGATACGCAGAATTAAAAGAAATTGTGGGAGGCCAGCTCCCACATTTTAAAGGGTTTCTATGAGGAGGAGAGAAGAATAAGAAACATTTTAGATAGAAAGAAAACAAAGAAGAGAAGGACAGAAACACAGGATAGCTTTGGGAGGACCTGGATCAAAATCTAACAGCCCCTTCTACCCCTTCAAAGGCTCTTTTTATAACAATGTCAAGGGGCAGGTCAAAAGATCTTCCCCTTGCCATCAAAGCACATTGCACAGTTAAGTGAGAAGCTTCCAAACACCTGGTAACCATGTCCATGGTCTGATCATTCCCTTATGCAGCCCTGCTGGGTAGAGTAAATTCAGATCCCACTAGGAAACTTCTGTGGGTCTACACAACTCCCCCTTCTTAATATTTTAAACGGCCCCTCAGACTCCTCAGATAGACCTTCCTTAGGTCATTTTTCTTCCCTAGTCAGCCTTATCCTTCCTTGAGATACACATTCCATCAAGCATACTCTGTCTTAGATTGGAAGCTAGCAAGAAGAATGTTACCCATCCCTGACTACTAGCCTCTGGCAGGGGGAAGTACAGAGCTTAACTCAGCTATGAATCAGGTCTCTACTAAGAGTTTGCAAATAGTTGAAAAACAACAACAACAACAACAACAACAACAAAAAAACCACAGCAATTCCTAGGGCTGCCACACCACCTCCCAGTAAAGGAGTAGAGGATGACTAACAGGGATATCCTTTTTGATTGGGTCTAAGATGTCTATAACAGACTTAACTTTGCCAAGCCCTTTTTTTACATCAATAAACTCTTGATGCAAATGCATTAAATAAATCAATAAACTAGTGATGTAACTGCATCAAACTTAAAGACTCCCTTAGCTTCACCAAATCATGGTTCATTAATATCACCAGGTTGACATAATTCTAGTCTGAATATTACTATACATATTTACAAGTAGCATGACTATTACTATACATATTTACAATTCAAACTTATATTCAAAAGCAAACTCTCTACAGGACTACTTTGTAAACTTTAGCAAACACCTTAAAGAGATCTCTTAACATAAATATTTATAATTTCTTCCAACAAGACAGAGGGTACATAAATCATGATTATCATAGTTACCATAGTGAACTCAAAACTGTTTCATTTCTGAGGTTGCAAAAGCTCAGAAAAATCCATCCTAATCATAGTCTTAAAGTTCTCCTTAAAGTTTGAAACCAGAGACTAATTCATTCATGGCTCTGGAGTCTTCATATCCATTCTCTTGACCTCAGGGCAGGGCAAAAGATCTCCTCTTTGCCATCAAAGCACACTGCCCAGCCAAGTGTTGACCCTTCCAAACACGTGGTAAGCATGCCTGTGGTCCAAGCATTCCCTTATGCAGCCTTACTGCCAGAGAAAGCTCAGATCTCACTAGGAAACCTCTCTGGTTCTCCACAAGAAATGACATTAACATTGATGATTACAGAAGCTGTAATCATGCAAACTTACACAGATTGGCAGAAGAGCAAGATTCTCAACAACAACAACAACAATAACAAAATTATTATATAATGTGAATAAACAGCATTATACACCTGCCCATGGAGACTGAAACTCTGAGATCTACTATAATCATTGATGGCTTTTAAGACAGAAGAAAATAAGCTAACACTGATGATGAATGGGAATAGACCCTTAGAGGAAATGTGATGGAATAAAAAATAGTTTGGTAAGCAGAGTATATCTGTATCAGAATGACTAAAGCTGAAGATTTTGAACAATAGCTATAATTCACATGGAAAGGTGGTGCAGCATTATCATCTGGAATATCCTCCCCTGACTCTGATGAGCAGATATCATTAAGAAGAAAATAAATATCTCCCTGTAGTAAGGAGATGAATGGAAAATGAGTTCCTATGGGCCTATTTATTTTTAATTAAAAAATATTTTATTTTATGAAAAGCAATGTGTTTTACATATTAAGTAACACTATAATTTGTATAGCGTTAAACAGAAGGAAAAAATTCAAGCCACAGAGCCTCTTCTCATAAAATATATTAAAAATAAAAATAATTATGGTTTTGGTTTTATTTAGCCCAGCCTACTGTCCTCAAAGTCATGAGTCTATGACAAGTCTTGATCTCCTGATACTTCTGACTCCGTTTCCAGAGTGTTAGATTATAGGCTTGTATTAGTGCAGCTATGAAATACTTTCATTGAGCATAAAAGTCTTCCAAATAGTATGAAAAAGCTTCTCAAAATATTTGTTGTTATTGTTATTTTATTTTACAGGTCTAATCATCACACCAATATAAAGATGTTTGAATATTTTGCGGACTTATGCAGTCACTTATTAAGCAGAAATGATATCATGGACTCCTTAAGGAATAAGAAATTTGACCTGCTGTTTTTGGATGTAACAGATCCTTGTGTTTTCTTGATTGCTGAGAAACTTGGGAAACAATTTGTGGCCTTTCTTCCCTCTCTATTTAGCATTATAGACTATGGGCTACCAAACCCTTTGTCTTTTGTCCCAGGATTTGGTTCCATTTTAAATGACCAAATGGACTTCTGGGCCAGAGTGAAGAACTTCCTAATGTTCCTTGATTCATCCATGAAGAAAAGAGAAATATTTTCTCAATATGACAGCACCATCCAGCAGCATTTTGCAGAAGGCTTTCGGCCAGTTTTGTCTGACCTTCCACGGAAAGCAGAGTTGTGGTTTGTCAGCTCTGACTTTGCCTTGGATTTTCCTCATCCTGTGCTTCCCAACACGATCTATGTGGGAGGCTTAATGGACAAACCTGTTAGGCCAATACCTCAAGTGAGTAAAACCTTAGCTTTCAGTTTATCTTTCATTCAGAGGCCTGCAGGGCTTAGATGGTGTCTTAGTTAGGGTTTCTATTGCTGTAAAGAGACTCTATGACCACAGCAACACTGATAAAGGAAACATTCAATTTGGGTGGCTTCCACTTTCAGAAGCTTAGTCCATTGTTATCATGGTGGGAAACATGGTGCCATGTAGGAAGACATGATGCTGGAGAAGGAGCTCAGAGTTCTACATCTTGATCCACAGGCAACAGGAAGCAACTGTGACATCAGGCATAGCTGAGCATAGGAGACCTCAAAGCCTACCCCCATAGTGATATACTTCATTCAACAAGTCTACACTCAGTCCTACAAGGCCATACCTCCCAATGTTGCCACTCCCTTTTGGGGCTCTTTTATTTCAAACCACCACAGGAGGAAACTGTCTCTTCATAAAGATGTCCTGAAAGGAAGTACTCTAAGACAACAGAAGAACTCTGAGCCTCCATATTTTAGGTTGTGAAAGTACAGTGACAATGTACCCCATGCTAAGTTTGAAGACCTGGTTAGATATTACAAAATGTGAGTCTCTCTATATTCCTGGCTGTGGTGGAATAACTCCTTTAATTAGTATTGTATTTCTAATTGAATTTTGAAATATATATATAATAAATACAATGAATGTCAAAACACTTAGAATGTGTTAAGGAGGCCAGTTCTTCATACTGAAACAGATAATACTTTCAGAAGGCATGTACCTTGACAGAACTTAGCACTACTGACAAGAAGAATTGCTTCTGTTATTCTGTGTCCCCAGCCTGTTGAGCACTAGGTACTCCATCCAGCTACTGTAAGCCATCAAAGTTACCAT